CCCCGCCGGTGGCCGATCCGCGGACGCTTCCGTGCGTGGGGCCGTTTTCTCTGCGGTCGGTCTGCACGGACGCGCGCCCCGTCGTCCAGCGCGTCGCTGTCCCCGCGCTGTGCGGCGCGAGCCTTTGAGGCCGGGCGCGCCCCCGTGCCCCGCAGACGCCCCGGCCACTCGGCCGTGCACGTCTGGGAGGGACGGCCCGGGTCCCGCCCTGTGAGAACGCGGCCCGCCGCATCCCCACGCGGCGCCCTCCGTCCAGGGCGCTTCCCCCGGCCGCCTCTGTTGGACGGTTTCCTCCTCGCTGTCTGTCGCTGGTAGTAACAAGCACGCACGCTGTGCGAACGGACTGAGGTATCTGCTGGGTGGCTTTCATAAATGTCAGCTGTTTCTTCAGATGGCGCTTGCCCTGTTCCAACATGACGGTTGGTGTCCCCTCTTTCGTGTTACGGACTTGCGAGCAGGGACTGCATCTTCACAGTCTTTCACGTTAAGATGCCTGACATGAAATACATTTTTGCGTGCTTAATACATGCGCCAATTGATTTCTCCTTAAATACGGCCCTTATTGTATAGGGTTTTTCTTAAGTCGTCTCAGTGAAATGGCTTCACTGAGCAAGATAAAGCTTTGGGACTTACAAGGAGGCATCCACTGCTGCGATGTCTTGGGTATGAGTAAATGGACTGACGAGTCCTCGGTTGGGATACAGCCAGCCTGGGGGCGGCACCGGTCCCAGGCTGTGACTGCAGTGCAGGTCCAGGAACACTGCTCGTTTGCGTGTCTAGAAGCCCACTTGGACACTTTCTTTGGCTTTTTCCCATCTGGTGCACAGTCTTCAGTTTTCAGTTGCTTGGGTTAGTAGCACATACAATCTTTCTCTTTCGCGTTAAGATGCCGTACAGGAAATGCATTTGGGTGCTTACTACACATGTGAGTGGATCAGTCCTGTCGTCTGCCACGGCAGACTCTCGGTGTTCCTCCTCTCTGCTTGATATCCCTTTTCAGTCTCCTTTGTAAGTTTCTCTTACTCTAAAAAAAAAAAAAAAAAAAAAAGATTCTCTGGCTCACGTCTCCAATTTCCACCGATATTCCGATGACTCGTCTATTTTTTTGTCAAGACAGATCTCCTGACCTCCAGGTCCTATATGTCCACTGCCTACTGGACATTTCCATGTGTGCAGGCATCTCAAACAATCTGTTAAATACTGAACTGTGTCTAATCCCCAAACCTCAAGTGAAACCTGGGGGCCAAACTCGAGTCCTTGCTGCGGTGTCATCCCATGTCCAATCAAACATGAGTCCTGCAGGCTTTCTTCTCGGACGTCTCAGAATGCCCAGCTCTTCTCCATCTCCAATGCTCTGTTGCCACCAGCCTCATCCCAGTTACTAATTCCCGTCTGGGTCCTTTCAATAGCCCCCTAACTGATGGCCTTCCTCCATCCTGCCTCCTGTCTTTGCCCACTCAATTCACCCTCCACGGAGTAGCCAGGCTGATCTAAGACGCACCCTCTTGGTGGCTCACCAGCTTTGTGTAAAACCAAGCTCCTCGCTGGGCTGCGAGCGCCGCCAGAGCCAGGCTCCACGCCCCTCTCAGCCTCATTGCTTCCTCATCTTAAATGTCTTCCAAGGGTTTTAGAAGTGGTCGCCCTGCATCTCTTTACCCGGCTGAACTACGACTCAGCCTTCGAGCTTCAGTGCCAGTGGTCTTTGCTGCCCGGCCTTCACACCCTTCTATCTTCCCCTCTCGATGAATCATAGCCGTGCCGTGTGACCGACAGAACACCGTGGAGGTGACATTGTGGGATGGATGGGGCCAGGTCACACGAGTCATCCCAGCTTCAGCCTTAGCCTCTCTTGGATTGCTCACGGCGGGGGATGTCAGCCACCATATTGTGAGGGTACTCAAACAGGCTGTGGGGAAGGCCACATGGCAGTCACCTTGCCAGCCATGTGAGAGACCCTCGTGGGCGACATCTGCCAAATGCAGGGCAGCCTTCAGGGACTATAACCTGAGATACTGAGCCAGAACTGACACGGAAACAGTGAGGGTAATACATGTAACTGTGGTTTTAAGCCACTAAAATTTGGGGTAACGTTATACAGTGACAGGCCGTCAATGCAATGTATGGAAGTGTCATAATTTTTTAAACTATTCCTCTCTAATTGGATACTTAGGTTGTTTCTAGTTTTATCCTATTACAAGCAATGTGGTAGAGAATATCTTTATATTTATGTGATTCTTTAGAATCTATTTCTAGAAATAAAATTGCTAGAACTCGTAAATTATGACAATCATTGGCAAACTACGTTCCCAAAGGTTAAAAATTCTCATTACTTTGCACTTCCCCCAATGGGCATCACAGAGCTTATTTCTCCTCGTCCTTGCCAACAGCGGATCATTTCAGTCTTTGCCAGTCTTTGGCGACAAATGACATAACATTTTAAATGTATTAGTGAGGTGCAGACAGTTATGTCAGGGGTTTACTGGATGTTCGTCTTTCTTTTTCTATGATTTCTTTCAGTGTTCTTTGGCCAACTTGACTTAATCTTGATGTGAAGAACTTCCTTACAGACCGTGGACGGTAACTTTTCGTCACGTGCCCTGCATACACGTCCTCATTATTGTGTGCCTCACATGGTGTCTTTCGCTCTGCAGTGTTTCCCGTCTTCACACTGTCACATCTGTCATCTTTCCTTTATAGCTCCTGGGTTTTCTGACCACGCTCCCTACCCCGACATTGCAAAAAAATTTTAAATCCTTCTCGTTTTAAAAATGTTGCATCTTTTCATTCTGGGGTGAGACAGATCTAACGTAATTTTTTTTTTTAGTTGCATAATCAATGTTTCATCATCATTCGTACCTGCTGATTTGAATCACCTGATCACATACGAATTCCTGTGTGTACGACCTGTTTGTAAACTCTTAGGTTTAAGTGATTTTTAAAAAGAACGAGTATGCAACAGTCCCGCATATTTTAAATTCCTGTTTCTTTAATCGAATGCTTTGATATTTGGGAGCGCCATCGCCCCTTGCTTGCACTTCCTGTAGTCAGCGATGGCTCGCCACCACCACGTCCGCAGATCAGGAGTAGGGGATGGAGTGCCCTTGATTTTAGGGGCACGGCCCAGAGGTGTCACGGACCACTGCCCCTCCTATCCCATTAGCCATCACTTGGTCACATTGCCTCACCGGGCCGAGAGGGAGACTGGGAAACAGTCTGTCATGCGCCAGCTACCCATTCTGCCACCAGGAGAACGGATGGTGGGGACAGCTGGCTGTGGCCGCCACAAGTCGCGTGACTAGTCCTTTCCTGTGTGGGTTAAAGTCGAGTGCGCAGTTTCGTGCACACTATCAGCCTTGTTTCTCTGATGATCACAAACTCTTAGAGCGCAGCAATGTAAGACTTTTCTGAAACAAGCCAGCGTGTGGGAACGGCTCATGCCCGAGACGCAGCACCGCGTAGTCATCATCATCAGCAAAGGCTGCGAAGCCGATCCAAGACATCTGATCCGCTACAAAATGCAAGTTGGAAGTTTCCCCCTGCTTTATGGTAAATAGAGATTTCTTTTTAAAAAACTGGAAATTTAACTTTATTGGATAGGTTTTACCGGAGCTCACTTGGGGACATTTAGAAACTCAGTAAATGTTTGTTTGGTGTTTGAATAAATCAGCTGGAAGGTGCTAGGTAAATGCAAATGCCCATGTAGGTAAGATTTGGTGTCTTCTTGAATTTCAAAAACAAACCCATAGGATATCAAATACGAGGTGTGGGCGCAAGTGGCACTGGATTCTGGCACCGCATGTCCACATGAGTGCTGTCATGGATTTGTCTGTGCCCTTGGATCTCCCACACACCCACTCTTGTTTCGGGGTGACTGACAGCTGGAGGTGTGGCCACTAGGCTCTCTTGTTCCATTTCATTTTGTACGAGTGAGTTGGCCGTGCACAACGGTTACACTCAAATGCTGATTCGGGATTATCGTTACTGCGTCTGCCATCTTCCGACCCGGTCACAAGTCCACTTGGGGGGCCGAGGGACGCCATGCCTGGGCCCACAGGACAGCCCCCGGCACGAGGAGGCTGGCACCCAGCTGGCCCGCAGGCATCAGGTCCGCGGTGGGGCTGTCCTGTGAGCTGGCTGAGGCGCCGCGTGAGTGTGGCAGCCTTGTGCACACTGTGACAGGCCGTTCCTCCCAGTCTCCAAGAGCCCCTGCCTTTCCCAACAGCCCAACGCATGGCACCCGCTCCCAGAGCCGGTGGCTGTGTCGGCAGGGTCCCTGAGTGCACTTCTCTGTCCTCGGGCTCAAGCTTTGCCAGTGCTGGCAGCTCACCAGCCGACTGAGGGCCATCGTCATAGTCCCTACTGGCATCTGCAGGTGAGGGCAGGACCACACACACTTACGTGGTGGTCACAGGGTCACGTGCTAACACTTCCTCCTGGACTGTTAGCTTTCTAGCTGCGACGGCCACAGGATATGGCAGCTACATACTGATAAACCCGTCTTTTCTTTCTTTGTATAGTTCTGCTTTGAGCATCCGTCCTCCAAACCAACCGGCTTGGTTCTCAGGCTCCTCTCCAGGGCTATAACGACAAGCGTTGACGCCATGCTCTGTAAGGGCAGCTCCCACCCTCCCAGCACACGTTCACTGTGACAGTGGCCACTGTGGACGCTCCTGGACGGCTGGGCCCTGTGTACACGTGGCTGCCCATCTTCACGACCCCACAGGGTGTGTGTCACCACCTGCTTTACTGGTCCAGAAAAGGGTGACTTGCCTCACTGGCTGGGAACCAAGAGCCGTCCACAAGTGTGTCAGAGCTGGACGGGGTGTTTCAGAGACGTCACTGGGTCCACGTGGTTCTGCGAGGTGGTCATTATACCACCAACTCCACAGGTCACAAGATGGGAATAATGGGACTTGTAAGAGGTTAGCATGTGAAGCCCAAGACACCCAGCCCACCGGAGGTGGCAACGCTCACTGCACGTGCAGCTCTGGTGGGCATGTCCCCACCGCCTCAGCTGGGACAGGCGGCCGCTTTCCCAGAGGCCGGTCCACACTTCGTTTTCCTACACAGTTGGTTTTCAACACGGTCACATGACACACTGGAGCCTTGACAGCATTTGCGCACCGAGTGGAGGGCCGCTCCTCCTGGGCAGGTTCTGAAGAATCTCATTTCCGAGTTTGTGACCCATCTGTGATGCCTCACATGGCTCCAGGGCCACTGTCCCGCCCGCTGTGCTCCAGGCTTTGTGTGGAGAGGGGCTCAGAAAATGCAGACGGCCTCGAAGCCACTGTTTCCCACAGTTTCAACATTTCACTGTAACTACTTTTTGCAGAATGTTAGCTGTAGAGAATCAGAAATAAATACCGTGTAAGGTTTGAACTGCGCCCTGCTGTACTTTTTCTCATAAGTCTGAAATAGAATTTTCTAACACCTTTTGTGGTTGGAAATACTGACTTTAAATAGGACTGCAGACAAACAAAAGAGCAAGATGGGGACTGACGTGCCTGTTTCACATTTTCTAAAACACGGGTACTAAAATTAGTGAAATGACAAGTCGAAGAAACAGGAATGTGCAGATGTGACAGGCCTTAAAACAGCATTGTCAGGTGCTCAGAGGGAACCTGAGAAATGCTGAGGGTCTCTTCAGGTCGCAGCCTTCCGCCGTGTACACGTTTAAGATGACATACTTCCTTAATAATTAAAAAAAAATTATTACTAATGCAGGGGCAATGATGCGGATAATTATAATTCTCATGGTTTTTCCTTTGCACAAAAGATGAAGCTGAGAAATCGGAAGATGGAGCCGCTGGGGCTGAGCTCACGGTCACTATTCCAGGACTTGTGCGAACAGAGCTCCTTCTTCAAACGCCCTGTCTGAGCAGAGGCCCGGGCTCCTCGTATAGCCGTGCAAGTGCCTGTCTCACAGTTTTGCAAACTGTTAACTTAGCAGCTCCTTTGCTAAGTGACACACTGGCATAAATGTGGTCTGCATTCTAAAGTAAAAGGACACCAACACTTGACGACTTTCTTACATAAAAGTAATTTATATGAAGTGCCTAAAAATAAGCTTCTTGATTCAAAGATCTACTATAATCTCCTTTCGTAAGGCAAAGTTTAAAATGACTACCCATTATTGAAAAAAAATCAGTAGATGACAAAAGCATGCATGTCACAGTTGCCAAAACTTCACGTGCCACCAGCAGAGCGAGGCCCCCGCTACCCAGGCACAGCTCTGGGAACTGGGCGAGCATCTCAGTCCTTGGGGTCAGAGATATAAACCAAGACACACCACCTGAGTAAGCCCAGCGCACAACCTACCAGGACCTACAGGCCCAAAGTGTCTGCTGTGTATCTTCTGATGGCCCTGGAGGCCCCTCTGGGAGGACACTGTGGCCTCTCCTAGTCCTGCTGGTGTAGCTGACGGTTCTGCCAAAGCCAAGTGCAACCTCAGCCCGACCTGTGAATGGGGCTCTAGACCCAGACGAGCCATTCACCGAGGTGGCCCTCGGACTCCCTCCTTCACATCCTGGGTTATTAAGTCGATCGTCACGCCCCAAGTGGGCGGACTGGCTACCGCGGTGACCATGCAGCACAGTTTGATACGCAGGTGGTGTGACGTGCTGTCAGCTGTCACCGTGCCCACAACACTAAGACGGTGAGGCGGGGAGGGTGGCTTCAGAGCTGTACGCTTGTCAGGACAAGACTCGACTCTTCACAGCTGCGTTATTTATTATTTAATTGTGCGTTGTTATTTTAAACAAATTGTGTTTGGCTTTAAATAGCAGAGATGATGAAGTAGTGAGTTATAAATGATGGATGAGGTCTGGAGGAGAACAGGAAGACTTTGTACAAATTACAGAGGGAGAAATAATGTAATTGTCGTAAAACAGTGCTATAAAAAGCTTCCTTCTTTCTGGTCGCTTTAAGGCACTGATTGTGCCGTCACCCCAGTTCAGAGGGCCTCGACTATTAACTATCAAACACACAGTAAACAATTCGGGCCTCGTGGGCCATATGACTTGTCATGGCTTTTCAGTGCCGCCGCCAGGCCTGAAAACCCCACACGACACGTGAACGGGGGCAGGCTGCGCCCCAAAAGCAGCACACGTCAGAGGTGGGCGGCGGGCCAGATGAGGCGGGGCCGAGGCTGCAGCAGCAGTGCCATCTCACCGTCAACACGAGCTACACGTGTAACTTCAAATCCTTTGGTAGCGACGTCACAAAAATGAACAGGTGAAGTTAATTTTAATATTTTATTTAACCCAAAATATCATTTCAACACGTCAATATAAAAAAATTATTAATGAGATACTTCACGATTTTTGTGCCAATTCTTTGTGTGTTGTAGACTTACAGCCCACGCGTCACGTTTCCAGCGGCCCCAGGCTGCACCCTGTGTCCTGGGCCTGCCGTGCTGGGGTTTGGTTCTTGAAAATCAGGGGTATAGTTATGTTACCCCAGGGAGACGGGACCAGGGGTTACAGCTTGGCCTCAGACACTTGAGGTGACATGGCCTGGGATGCTAGGGCGCGGACGGACAGCCAGGCGATGTTGGCTTCGCTTGCCAATGCAACAGGTCGATGTGGGGGAGCATCTGACAGAGGCCATGACACGCCCAGGCGTGACCAATCGTGCATCCCTGGCCCCCAATAGAGTGCTAGTTGTCATGAGCCCAGCTCGTCCTCAGCACTGTGACTATGTAGAATTTAAAGCTTATAAGGCTGTGATCTGGAAGATAAAATGAAAAACTGTGTAGCCCGAAGCTTCAGACTGTAGTTCTGAAGTGATTAAAGCAATCTAAAGGCATTTTCGGATATCCTGCGCCACAGGGCTCGATGCTCGTCGTCGGCAGCAGTTCAACGGTGGGCCGAGGGTCAGCGTAAGCCTTTGCGTAAGAATGGATACATTACCTTGTTGTTAATAAAACTTAGAGGCAGGTGTTTTTAACAAAAGATTTATTACCAAAATACAGTATTAAAGTCAATACATGACCAACTCCTATAAAGCAAAATAAATTACTAGAACTTTGCACAGTACTCGCAAAGGTACTTCAAGCAGCACTGTGGACTCCTGTCACTGCTGAGCAGGCCACCGCTGTACCCTGGACACGGCCCTAGAGCCCTGGGCTGTGAGGCCTGCAGCTCCGTGTGCAGGATAATTTTACAAAATGCAAACCATCCTATTTGTAGGATACAGTGTTGGAATTAACTGGCGTCTTCACATGTCAGTGTTCCAGAAAGTTTTATACTTTGGCTATAGAAGCAATGCCATAGTGTTACACAATACTTATTTCTTAAAAAAATACACGTATTCATGTCCATGGATATCAAACTCAAATTTCTATTAAATATATTTCATAGAATATTACTTAGAGCACCTTGCTGTACAATAAAAAAAGATTAAATAAGTGTCTATGAAAACTAAAACTGCAACACGTCTCGATAGAGAAGCCTGCTTGTCTCTGTCAAGCCCAGTACGCTGTGGACGACACGACGTAAACATGGGTGCCTGCCACCCGCTTCGTGAGAAAAGACAGAGGAAACAATGAGGCCACCAGCTGCTACCTCAAATAGATGACAGATCTAGAACAAAGGCTTTATAAGCGTCACTGCAGTGCACTGCCTGGACACAGAACTTAAAAGTCTCGCGATCGACTGGAATACAGGCATGGGGCTGTCAGAGCACTGGGGACACTCACCATATTCTGGATGGTCAGAGAAAGAGAAAGTGACGTAGCCCCAAAATGTGTTATTGATACTGGCCAGGATGCACCGCCGTCCCCTTCCCCGCCGTTGCCTTATCCAGGCGATTTCTCTGAAAAACTAGTTTCACTATCCAGTCGGAATTTTAAGTGGTCAGAGTGGAAAACCAATACTACGAGCTTTGTACGGGAAAAGATCTAGTGCCAGGAAATAAACTGTTACTCCTATGAAGAAATCCGTCCTGATTAGCTCCACACCTCTCTCTTCCACAATTAAAATTGCGTATTTCGTTTTCATTACTACTTTGTTCTCGGTAGAGACACTGCTAGCGTGAGGCTCGCCAGACGGCGGCGTGGGAAGGTGCCGGGCGGCCCTGCTGTCCGGCCTCTCCTGCAGGGCCAGGAGGAAGCTTCGAGGATGTCCTAGGCCAGAATCCGATGGACGTTTAAAGACTTGGAACTGCTGGGTTAGTCTTCCCTCCAATGAGCTAGGGAAATTTTAAATCCATGATTCCGAATAGAAATTTAGGTAATGATCGATGGAAGTGGTTTAAGGAAATGAAGACTGGTCATTTAAAAAAATTCACCATTGATATTTTTGGCATTTTTTTGGTTATTAGTATTTTCCAAATGGTTACATCAAATTAAAGCTAAGGAAAATTTATAAGATAAAATTCTTCTAAGGTTAATTTTCAGAATAATATTTTTATGAAGAAATACTGAGTCGTGGCTACCAGCGATGAAAGAAATGACTGAGTGGCAACAATATAAGTGATAATAATGGAACCATTTAAAATATTTTATTTGAATTTGAAATAAAATATAATTGTTTTAATTCTAAAAACAGGAGAAAACGAATATAGGTCCACATGCAGTGGATTTGGGGATTATAATTTACTATATAAAATTCACTTTATCTTTTTAAAAAACCACATATCAAAAATGGATTGACTTTCATAAATAAATTAAAGCTACCTAAAGAGCTACAGAACTACAATCGATTCTGTTTAAATATCATCATGAAAATGCGACCAAAAAAACAAATCAGACAAGGTTCCCAGATGCCTGGCCCCTTCAATGGTTCCCGAAGCAGCCTTGAACGTGTCCGCCCCTTCGCCTCACACCTGGACTCTGGAAGAGCTGTCTTTCCTGCACGCGTCTACGAAGTATCCCATTCAAACCTGCTCTGTGTTGGGAAGCTAGGTCAGAAAGAGCACCATGGGGGGCGGGGAGGGGCGCACAGGCCCCACGTCTGACTTGTGGGCAGAACTTACTCCAATGAAAAGATGCATGAATAAATGACCGCACTACAAAAGCCAGAAAAACAAACCCTGTTCTTTTCACTCTTAGAAATGTTAGGACACAAACGTGTAATTAACGAGGAGAATCCATCTATTTCATGGCACTTGTCGTCGGGGCTCCGGACATCCTATTGCACGGAATGGAACCTCCTGGATAGAGAAAAGCTCACAGACTCGCCAAATGCTGTTGTTCCTACAAGTTTTATGAACAGCCTGGATTCCCGCTGTGCTTGAGCCACGTCTGGTTCACCCTTTCTGCTACGTGGAACTTCATAAGACTCCGAGAAGTATGATCTCAATGGCAGTGCTCGCTTCCGGGGGCTTCTGAATCTCACCCCCTCCCCCAAATGGTTTCTAGTTAAGAGTTTACACCATTCCCAGGGTCTGGTGATCACATGCACGTTTTCATACATTGTGGCTTCCACGGACCCCCAGATAGAAGGCTAATTCAGGAGGGTCGGGAGCCTGTTTAGCTAGACAACCGGGGGGACCTCCGAGAGGTAACTGCACTGCGCTGTTACATGCTTCTCCACCCTGGGATGGGGGCTGAGTCTGGTGGGAATTCACCTGTTTCCTCCCGTGCCCACAGGAAAGTCACCGTGAACGCACGACGATCACTTACTCCTTCAGCACCTCTTTACAATCTAGATTTGGATGCAGAGGTCTCTTTTCTTTTTTAAGGAGTAAAGCGATATATCTCATGTTGAGCATATGGTTAACGCCTATCAATTCCGGGAAAGATTTAGATAGATCATTTCAAAGCCCCCTTCCCCTTGCCGACTGCTGGTGCCACTGAAAACCCCCAGGGAGTTGCGTCCCACTTGCCCCAGGAGGCCCGTCACGTCAGAACTGAGAGGAAGAAGAGCAAGCTCTGCTTTAGATCGTGACACGTCCCTAACAGCACGTTTCAGCAGAGCTCCCGAAACACTCTTCACTGCCCTGCGTGCACCGCCACATTGTGGGAAGCCCGAATAAGAAATACACTCCACACTAAGACGAGGCAACAGCGCTGACACAGGGTCACACCTTTGCCTCCTCGGCCGCTCCCCCTTGCTCGACGCACCTGAATGTTATCACTGCGTGTCCACTTGGAATCCCTCTTACTACACCCCAAATTTGGTTCCACAGTCACGGCTGTCATTTCCCTCAAAATCGCACCGAGCTCCTGTGTCCGGGCGGTCACCGGACAGCGCCCGCCCGGCGGGACCGCGGTGTGGCGGGGCCCCGCTGGGGTCTGGGCCGCGTTCAGAGGCGCGTCGCGTCCTTGCTCAGGATGATGCTGACGATCTCGCCCTCGTGCTCCTTCATGTGGCCCAGCAGGTTCTCTTTGCTGGTGGATTCGAAGCCACAAATGCAGCAGCAGAAGAGCAGCACGCAGTACTCCGCGCCGGTGGGGGCTGCGCCGGGGCCCCTCCCCGCGCCGGGCTCCTCGTGCTCGCCGGCAGCCTGGGCCGTGGGCTCGGAGGGCGACGCCCCGTCGTCCGGGCTTTCGGCGACAGGGTCGCCTCGCTCGTCACTGCTGCTCTGCAGCGTCCTTGCAGGGGATTTCCCTAGAACTCTTAAAAACCAAACAGAAAACACCAAACCTTGAGCTGGCAAGAACGCAGGACTAGCAGGTGTCACCCTGCCTCTGAGGAACGCGTACCGACAGGGGAGGGGCGGGAACAGATACCTGCCGCTCTGCGAAATCGCATCGTTAATGGCCTTGTTCACTTGCTCGTAGTTATAGTTTTGGTCACTCGCATGCTTCCACATATGCGACTTCAGAGAAGGAGGGTGGCTGCACACGTACCCACACAAAGAGCACCTGGAAGGTAGGCGTGAGGGGAGTCAGACCCATGTTGTCACTTCGGTCACTACGACGATCCTGTCACAATCATAAATTCCTTCTCCTGATGCCGTGTTAGACATCGTGTCTCACTGACTCTAAGGTGTCCCTGATTCTAGGCACGTGATGGTTTCATATGGACATCTATAAGCCAAAACATCCTAGAATGGACATTCCAGGGACAGTGAAATAGTGTTTTCAACTTATAAAGAATTGATGAATCAACAAATATCCCAAGTACTTCAGCTATTAACAGTTCTTAGAAAGACTCTAATACAGTAACTACAAAGTCTGTGCTCTGAATTAACTCTCCCACAAAGACAAATGCACAAAATCAACCCTCCACACCGTTTAAGAAAGCAAAACGTAATTAAGTGATTTTCAACATGAACTATGTACTTATTTTTAGATGCACAGAAATTGGAAATAGTTCTGAAAAGCTTCAACACTTTAGATTTCACAAATAAAACATAATCAATAATCGTTGAAAACCCATTCAAAAGAAAACTCGTCTCACACAGCCGGGTGCACTGGTAACGTGTGAACGGAGTGCTTATTAACTCTTTCAGGCACTGTCGGGCTGGTGACCTCTCAGGCGTCCAGTAACTCCTTTGCGGACACTGTCACCGGATGAACCGCCACCAGTACTCGATTCGCTAACACCCACACCGCGGACCCTCGAGCGGGGGCTGGGACCTGAAGCCCCGCCCCCAAGCCGCCTGGTCCAGGGTCGTGGTGGTCTGTGTATTCTGTGTGCTTTGCCAAATGCACCGTGTCACGCACCCGCCACACATGCCACGCTGAGCAATCTCCCTCAGAGCCTCTATGCTCTACCACCCCACCCCACCCCACCCCCGTGACCCCTGGCAACCACTGATCTTTAATGTGTCCACAGCTGTGCCTTTTCCAGAGGGTCACAGAGTTGAAAGCATATAGCACGTGGCCTTTTCAGATGGCGTCTGTCATCACTGAGTCGTGTGTGTTTAAGGTCCCTCCGTGTCCCTTTGTGGCTCAAGAACTCTTACTGCTGTGCGGCCCTCCGCCGTCTGGACGGGCCACAGTGTGTGTTCACCTGTTACCCGCTGAAGGGCAGCTGGCTGCTCCCGAGTCTGGGCGACTCTGAACAAAGCTGCTCTGAACATTGGGCGTGGATTTTTGTGTGGATGTAAGTTTTTGTCATTTGGGGAAAAAAATTTTTTTTAAAAGACATTTTTGTTAAATATTTAATTACAAATCTACCAAATCAGGTGAGTTATCTGAATGCTTCTGCACGACGAGAGGCACGGGCCGCGTGACGACGTGCGAGCAAGCGAGGCGACTCCTCACCCGACAAAGCTTCGCCCTACGACAGACGCGGCACGGCGCCCTTTTATCACGTGTCCTGAGGCTTCAGGTCCAAGGCCGGCAAAGCGTATTTTTCATATATTTAAGGACATACTGGGTATTTTGGGTTGGGTATGATAAGTCAGCGGACGCCCCCAGTCAGCCCTCATACTTCAGGAAGTGAAGGCACAGTGACACCTGGCCACCTTATCTCAAATGCCACAGGCTTATAGAAGCAGTGCCAGTGCATGGAGAAGAATGGGCCACACAGGTGACAGTCGGCACCGAGTCATGCCTGCGTGCCCGGGGCTGTGCCGAGCGCCTCCGGTCCAAAGCCTGTCACTTCCCTCCTCGCCACGTCCTCCTGCCACCCCTCTGCGTGGGAGACGCAGCAGCCTGAGGAAGCTGGTGCTGGGCCATGTGCCTGGGGGAACTTGAACCGCGGGTCCAACTAACCCCGGGCCGAGCGGTACCCGACAGTTCCGAGCGGAACCTTTTGGGAGGCTGGGTCGGCGGCAGCTGGTGTGTGGTTCGCACAGGCTGCTCCTCCGCGAGGCGCTGGGAGCACGGGGATGGCCGGGGCCCTTCACCGCTCCCCGTCCTAGCACGGGCGTGGAGGGCAGCTCCGTCCTCCGACCGCATGGAGTCATGAGCAGAGGAAGGAGACCAGGCCCTTCAAGGCACCAGTAACAAGCTGGGAGCTTGGGACATAAAATCTCATTCAGTCCTCACGAAGCTTCACGCACGAGGCGGTACCCCTAGCTTTATCTGGGGAGGGAGGCTGAGCTCGCGATACTGTCCCCAAGGTCCCCTAGCTGGGCACAGGAGTACGGCCCAGGCCTGAGACTAAGCATACGTCTCCCCAAGTCGCTGGTTGCCTCCAAGGGAGTATGGAGACCGCAGCTGTGGCAGAACTGCGGCTTGGGAACAGCATCTCTCCTACACAAACACTCAGGACAATCCCGGTGACAAAGTGCGAGAGTGAACAAATTTGGAAACAACACACTGAGACCTCTCTGAGGTGACAAGAAGAGGATTCTTGGGGACGCTGCCCACCGGAAGGAAGACCCTGGGACCACTGTCTGACTCCGAGTCGGGACGTATTTGAAGAGCATATGAAACACAACGCCCAAGACACCGAGAGCTACTGGAACGTGTCTCTGAGCTGTGAGACCTCCCTCCACAGAATCAACAGCAACCACGAGACTCTCCCGCGAATGTCGTGTCGTCCATTTGAGCGTTTGCTTGTTCGTCGTGCGTCTGTAAGCTTCATGATGGCAGGAATGGTCTCTTTTTTATTATGACTATAGTCAAAGAGTCTAACACAGCTTCTGAAACAATATTTGCTCAATAAATGTTTCTCAATGGATTTGAATGAAGTCTGATTCTGAACCCAAGGGATGTTATTTAACTCTTACCCAGATCACTTGAATTTGAAAATGTCATCCAATTTAAAAATACACTCAAAACAAAAAGGCAAAGATTCCTCCTCATATCAGATACACTAGTGTCCCGTTTCCATCATGTTCCCCTAAATACTCTGCAATGTAAATCATGAATGACACAACACGTTAAATACCATTTACCACTTGTCATCTACAATTTATGACACTGAGTCACTGCTAATAATGGTTAATGACCTTCATTACACTTGGGGGAAAAAACTTTCTTAGGGATCCTAGTTTTAAAAATAAAAAAAACTGTGGTATATACACACAATGGACTGCTAGCCGGCCATACACAAGATGAGACAGTGCCACTTGCAGCAACACGGATGCGTCCCGAGGGTGTTACAGACCAGGTGGAGCGAGTCCGATGGAAAAACCAGAAAGCGTATAATCTCACTCATGTGCAACGAGTGTAAAAAGAAACAAATGAACAAATAAAACAAGAACCCATTCGCAGGCACAGACATCAGACGGGTGGGTAGAGACGGATGGGGAGGTGACAGTGACATGTTCCGCAGCGACGGGAACTGGACTCTGGCGCTGAGCACGCCACAGTGTGTGGACGTGGGATTGTATGTCACAGACCGGAAACTTACATAACGTTCTCAACCAATATTACTGCAATTAAAAAGAAAAAACTAGAAAAATGCCATTTTTATACCAATCCACTCCATAACCAAATGAATGATTCCATATCAGTAACAAGCTAAATGTTTTCCTCCAGGAACAAACAAACAAGCGAACGAATCAAACAGAGACAAGAGGCAAGGTCGAGCACCTTCCACGGAGCGACAAGACTCTGCGAATGGATGTTGTCTGGAGTGAGTGTAAGTAAGTCTGCTGGTTAGCAAACGCAGCACAGACTGACAGTTAAAACCATATACAAAGAGAGCCTCGTTATGAGATCAAGCGGTGGCACTGGACGGCCAGCCTGTCAGGTTCCTACTGAGATATTAACACGGTAACTTTCCCGCACTCACCTGTCACACCTAGAAAACCCGAGACAGACTTAAAACAGGAGATGCGTTTTGACGAAAGGTTAAGAGTTCATGCCTGTGGCCTAGCACTCCGTCATGGTGACCAACTTAGCTCAGAGTGGGAACCATGGCCACAAGGAGACCAAACTGCTCTGTGGCAGCTGGACGAACTCTATATAAACAACACTTTTATTTGCAAGAGGCAAAATTTATTCAAAAAGTAATGATTTACATTGATCGGCCTATTCTGATGAACTGAGAAATGCTTATAGTTTTTGAAAACACGTATTAGAATTGGCTTCTGTGAGAAATCAACTAAATGACCTTATTTTACACACGATACATTAATCTTCAAAAATAGAATCTTTCACAGGGAATTTTATTGCTTTTAAATTTTAAGGAGCTTCTGCTGGAATACTGAGTACTTAGCTGCCAAGTTACTTAAAGGTACTCGAAGCGCCGAAGACTGCTATGACAATTTGCATGAAACTGACAGACACAAACATCTTCCTGTATTTCAGCTAGACAAAATATCTATGGTCCTAAAACCTAAGCTTAAAATTCATATTTTTAAATAAACTAAACAACACTCATGAAACCAGTAACTGAAAGTGATATGAGTTTTTAATTACTTCTAACTTGGTTTAATTACTAATAAGTTTGTCTTTTACTATCAAACATTCTAATACAAGCGGCAGAACTCCAGGGCCATCCCACTTACCTGTACGGCTTATCAGAGTTGTGGATTCGTCTGTGGTTTCTGACACCGACGTACGTCGTGCTGGTATAATCGCACACGTCACATCTGTACTGTTTCTGGATGGAAGACTTATTCTCTAGACAAGGCATTTCAGAGTTTTAGCGACATGCTTTGCTTAGGTTCAAATGGCAGCATTTACATTCCATCGTAAATGAATCTTTAAACCACACAGCGTTAACATTTCAGTCAAGGCTTTCTAACTGTTTAATAACAATAAGTTTAAATATGGCTTTACAGCTTCTCCTGCATCTGGACTTTCAGCTGATAGAAACTGGACATCATCTATCTGTGGACACAGATACACTGGGTTGCTTTCCACATAACCTTGCACAAAACTCTAATGTAATAAACTGGATGTCAGCTGCCCTGCTGACTGTGTAGCAGCTGAAGTAACCACAGATATATCGTGAATCTAAAAGATGTTAGTCTAATAAATACTGGGTATGTCACCTTAAGGAAATGATTTGCCAACAAGTGACATTTAATACCATGATCCGATATTATACAGTATGGCTACAAAGCATAGATAACAAACTCAGTATGAGAAAGCTAACGCTCCGTCTGTGGGTTTTCTCTGGAACCATCGGCTGGCAATGCGGCAGTGGAGGGAGAAGCAATGTTATTAAGTGCCACATAATGCTGCGTAATTGCGTCTAGCAGCCTGACGGGTCCCAATGACAAAGATTATAAGAATGTGACGATCAGCTCTCTGAAGCCAGGGAGCCTGGGCCCAGCGGAGACAGGCTGCCTGCAACAGCAAGCTTGGGACAGCACAGCTGGATGCTGTGGCCACGGAGAACGCTCCTGAGGACAGTCGTGGCTTTGTGTGCCCCGTCAGCACCCAGTGCCCGGGCCCGTCAGAGCCTGCGGGCTGGGCAGCCAGAAGCACAGCAGGCATGAGGGCAGAAGGGCAGAGGCGAGGAAGCTTAGGGAGCGCAGCACGACCCAGCACTACAGGTGAGGCTGGCGGCACGAAAGAACACCAACAACGGAGTTTTAACAAAACGAAGAAAACCCTGAAGGTAAATTTAAGCTTTCTAAAACTGAAATTTTCTTTTGCTAATAACTGCTCCCGCCAGGCGGGACTAACTGTCTCAATTTCCTGGTGTAAAGCTATAACATTAATATATACACTAATCATAATTATAACCTAACTATTACTCAGAATTGGTAGGTTAAAAACTTGGACTTGATTATAAGTGGCAGTGTTCCAAATACAGTTTAAAAAAACCTGAAAAAAGGAAGTGTGAATACTGGATAATGGTTTTGTGTGAGAAACATTGCAGATCAATGACAACTAATAAAAAATGACAGATGGTAAGACTTAGCGCAGCACAGGATGAGAGCCTGAGCCACCTCAAGCAACTGTCCTTAACAGAAGGAGCACCGGACTTAAAGTTCAGACTCGGGCTCAGTCCTCACTCACAGTCAGTGCTGGTGTGACCGCAGGCCCATCAGGCCAGCTCGTGAGGACTGTTTCTCATCTAGGAAATGGATGTGCTAGACCCTCCCCGCACGTCCGGTGAGCCCAGAAGTGATCTGTGCTTCCCTCCACTGCAGTCTGTGCGGCCCTGTGCTTGTGTGTGAAGTCTGACGTGTCACCAGAGGAGACGCCCTGAGGGCGGGCGGGACCTGCCCGCTGTGTTTGCAGTGAACCCCCCGAGCCTGGCACGTTGCAGGTTTGCAATAAAGAACAAGTGATTTAAACCTCGCGCGGACGTGCCACAGCAAAGTGCTGTGACGTTCGCCAACACACCCAGCTGTCTGGTCTCCAGGCAGTGCTGCCGTCACTGTCCTCTCAGCACCTAGCTCAGTCCCCAGCTCAAGGCGGGCACTCCGTGCCCCTGGCAGACGCGTGCCCAAGCACCGCCACCCTGGCCATCTGTGCTACGGCACCATCTCCCCTCTTAAGTCAGTTTACTAAATGGTTAAAAAAATTTCAACAAACAGGAATTATTTTTATCTTCGTTGTGAGCTAAAAGCTTCTTTGGCGTGACAACCAGAATTTGAAAGCGCATCTGCTTCTCCAGTAGGTGGCTGGGCCTAAACGGTTTTGTTTGCTTTTACAGAATCGCCCCCAACGCCTGCTTTTATTTCAACCCGTCACGTTTCCACATCCCTGCTGAGAGACTAAAGCATTAAAGCATTTGCTACCTTTGGACTGTAAATCCTAACGAAGGAATAAATTATGTCCTGCCCTTGACTTGATAAAGCGTCAGCGTAGGTCTAAGTTCGCAGGAGGCCACCCGCAACCTGAATTGTCACAGCGCCATGACAGAGTCAGCACGTGCCGTCAAACCCATGCACTGAACCCGCGGAAGCAGGAGGACCCAGAGCAAAGACGCTGCAGGACGGAATGCAGTGCAGACTGGCGCTGCGAGGCTCGAACTGCTCATTTTCATTTCGAGCTGACGTTTTACTTTTTCATTAAAACTGTAGGTTTCAATTTGTTAGCCCACGTGGACAGTTTTAAGTGATCGCTTTTGAAGTCAGTGCTAGAAGAGACGCCCTCCAGCACCGCCAACCGCACTGCAGGTGGCGTCCCCCGAGCAGGGCGCACGTGACTCCTTCACCAGGGACTCACGGTCCAAAGGTAGCGAATGCTTTTATGCCTCCCTCAGAGGGGACGCGGAAACTCGACGAGTTAAAATAAAAGCAGGCATTCGGGGCGATTCTGTAAAAGCAAACAGAGCCGTTTAGGCCCAGCCATCTACCGGAGAAGCAGATGCTCTGTCATAAACTCCTTTTGTTCGGGACATTTTTACCGGGCTGACATCTGCTTGACAAGCGATTTTGGTGCCTACTGTCGTGTCAAATCAGTTCTTTCAGAAACATTCTAGAATCAGTTATGCTTTCTGGGGTATAATTTAATGAACATTATGCTAAAACATTTTACTCTGCAGTTGTTTCTAACTTTAATTCTTAGGAAATCTAAAAAAGAAAAATCACCCCAATGTTTTATTTCCCATAAACGCTACACACCACACTTGAGACGTTTCAAGCGCATCGATTTAAGCAAGCCGATACAAGGCAGCACAGCTTGTCACGCCTTATCCCCAATTCCCCGGATGTGGCATCCGCCTTCTCAGGGAACTCTAATTAAATCTTCGATTCTAACATTCCTATTAGCAGGAACGTGGCTGACTCGTACCTAACTGGTATGTGCAAAGATCTGGTGGTGGCGTTTTTTAAATAATGCAGATGAGACTGGCAGTCACACTTGGTTGAGAATGGGATCACAGCGGGAAGCCTCAGTCAGGGCTCGAGGTGGGGCTGCCATTTGCCAGCTGTGCTGGCACTGGGGGAAGGCGAGCAGGCTTTGTTTCTATGCTGCGACCTCCCTGGCCTGCTGGCATTGCCACCTAAGGGATCTCCTGTACTTGGCCCTTAGAGGACAGCACATGTTTCAATGTAGTACCTACCTACACAGTTGAAGCTGAATATTTACAAATGCGGGATTCATTTCGTACTCAGAATTTCCTTGGGGACAGAGATGAGAAGCGCTCACTCACAGTGTAAGTTAGGAGAGAATACACACAGCTTTAGTCCTGAAGGTCACCCACGTGACAGCTAAGGGCATGGTTCAGTTCATGTGCTAGTCAGTGCAGCCTGTATAAAAACGCCACATACCTTCCTGAACACACTTCTCATCAGCTGTGTCACTGGATGCTCTTGGCTCACTGCGACTCGCCATTGACAAGGTGTCTGGAAGGCTGTGTTGCTCTCTCTCGTGGTTCCTCAGCTGACTCTAAAAAATTGAGAGAAATTCAAAAGCGGTTTTCAAAGACTACACTTGCACAGCCGCTAGGAGGCCGCAGGAGGAGGAGCCAACTGCTTTCGAGGCTGGGTACCTAGGCCACATCATCGACACTTTAAAACTGAAGGTGCTAAAAAGCGGCACATCTGACAGTTCCTGGGAAGAAGCATGCTAGGGAAGCCACGACCTCATCAGAAAGGCAGGGAGCCACCACTGTCCCGCGGGGTCTCCGCATGTGGCGTGTGCGTGCTTCTGAACCACTGACAGTCTGAGCAGACTGCTCACAGCGCCTCGGCGTGTCCACGGCGACGAGTCCAGCACTGACAGTGGCCTTGTGACCCGCCTCCCAACACCAACTAAGCGTGTCCGAGAGACCTGGCTGGGCTGAGCCTCTGCCAGCTACCCCCAAGTCAAGAGCAAGCAGCAAAGCAGCCTAAGTCACTGTGGGTGACTGTGTAACGGCTGCAGTGAGTGATCTGCATTTCAGGACCGTGGAAGATGAATAATAGATATTTTTCGCATTGCTGACGTGTGCACATGCACGATGTCCCTCACTGCACGTTCCCTTGTAATGAATTCCCGTACACTCTGAAATCCACACATTTCCAAAGACGTAAAGCGAAGAACTAGACTATGAAAGCAGTAGCCACAGAGGCCGTCGGGGAGGTGGCGGGCTAGGGGAATCTCGATGCCCCCAACTTCGGCCCTGACCTGCACGCCCGCTCGTCTGGACCCTGGACAAACTGACAGCCCTCCCCGGCCCTGCTCTGAGACCCTACGGTCGCTGGGTGAGCCGGCGCAGGGCTCACCTTGCAGAGGAAAGACTCGGCACACCGTCTGCACTGGTAGGCCCTGGTTTTGCAGTGGTGGATCATGTGGCTCTCCAAGTCTTTGCTGTCGTCTGCGACGTGCTCGCAGATGGGGCACTGGTAGGGCTGCCTCTGCCGATGGAGCCGCAGGTGCTGCTTGATGTAGCCCTTGTTGCCGCTCGCGTAGTGACACAGGCGGCAGCGGTAGGGCCGCTCCGCGTCCGGGATGTACTCCACGACGCTGCTTCCCGGCACGCTGGCCTCACCATGGGGCTGGCACTGGGCGTTGTCCTGCAGCTCCTTCAAGATGTCATCGTCCGAAGCGTTCTGGTCAGTCCGTTCCCTCAGCTTCTCGATCACAGTGAGCAGGGACATGCTGATGCCCGTCTTGGCCTGCCCGTCCGACAGCTCCTGCCGGCCCCCCGGGAGAGCTACCAAGGCAGAGCTGCTTTGGTTAAACCCTGCCAATCCGTTCGAGGAGTTTTTGAGTGGCGACATCATTTTAGAATATGCGGCCAGTGTACTGTCTACTTGCCTTTGGCCGGTGTCTGGATCTAGGAGGTTTATGTCGCCGTAATGCCCGAGGCTGGCTCTCGTGAGCTCCGCAGCTCGGATGGGCATGGTGACCAGCGCTTCTGCGGCTAACGAGTGCAGGCGAAGGGACTCGGAATTCGTTCTCCTCCGGCCGGGGGGCGCGTTCTCATCGGGAGCCAGGCCCGGGTACCCGAGCTCACTGTCGGTCTTCTCCGCACGGCTCCAGCCTATGATCAGCCCCCCGATGTCGACAGTGCATTTGTCGGCCCCGCAGGCTTCCCCCGTCCCCTCGTCCCCGGCCCGGGCTTCTGGCGGGCTCAGCTGCTTCGCCTCTTCGATCTCGGCACTCACGAGGAAGCTCCTCTGGGAGAGGCCTTCTTCAGCGCTCGGCAGACGCTCCACTATCACGTTAACGTGGCCTTTCGTGTTGGGGCCACTGCTGATGATCTTCTGTGCCGACGACAGCAGGCTGTCGGCCACCAGCATCTCCTCCGCATCAGAGGTCGCCTCGAGTGTCTCCTCCGCGTCAGGGTCCAGGGCCACGGACCGTCTGGGGCCAGCACCCTCATCCGCGCTCTGTCTGGGAGGGGACGCGGAGGGTGACGGCTCTGAGCTGCAGATCTGCACCTGCACCGACGGCCCGTTCTGCACCCGCAGCGCGCTGTCCTCGATGGCGATGACGACCGCATCGACCGTGTCGACCCCTCCGGCTGAGGTGGCCGCCGGAGAAGCCAGCAAGCCCAGGGGTTCATTCTCGTTTTCGAATATGGGGTAGGAGCAGCCGACCTCTCCGGCGTGCTTCCACGCGTGGGTCTTGAGCATGCGCTGCTGGCCGCACGTGTAGCTGCAGAAGAGGCACCGGTACACGCCATACTGCTCGTACGCGTACCACTGGCCCCTGCCCGCTCCCGGCGTGGCTGCGGCCGGGACAGCTGGGGTGCCGGGCCTGGGCTCACCGTGTCTTTCTGGGGGGCTTGCGCACGGCTGGGCCTCGGCTGGGGCCTGACAGCTGGCCTCGCTGCCGTGGTCACTGACCACGTGAGCCTCCAGCTCCTCCTGGCTCTTCGACGTGAGGTGGCACTCTGAGCACATCAGGATCACTTCGTGCTGCTGGCCGTGCTGCTTGATGTGGTCCTTCAACACAGGGAACGACGCCGACAGAAACTTGCAAAGGCTGCACTGGTAGGACATCGCCGTCCCCTCACTCTGGGCGGGAGAGTGGGGCGTGAGAGACGCCTGCGACACCTCGGCCCTTCCGGCAGTGGGCGGTGGGGCGACTTTCGCTGGAAGCTCGCAGGGCTCTTGGGAGTCAGGAGAACATGTCGCCGCACTCGAGCGTGAGCGCTTTTTCCCAATTAGAAGACATTTTTGTGACTTTTCATGTTCCACTATCTTGCTTAACTTCTGGATGACATGGATTAAGGGATCTGTTCTGGCTTTTCTTTGTTCATCGATTTCCAACGATGAACCGATGACGGTTTCAGCAGCCAACAGCGCCTCCTGCTCCCCGACGTCTGGCGCCAACACGGCAACACCGCTGCTCTCCTCCATACCTGGAAGGGTGACGGAGAACAGAGACAGGGCAGGTCACAGGGGGCTGCGGCACGCGTCGCGCGTTAGCTAGCCTGCGTGTTTCC